CCCCCCCCCCCCCGGTTATTATTTCTGTCGGGAATGCCGGACAATTTGTCCGGGTTTTGTGCCAGGTGTCTGTGGTTGGGTGATGGCGGTGTTTTCACGTCTGAAGAAAGTGGAGGTGGGCAGGAGTATCGTGGTCGACGGCGGCCGGGTGGTGCGTTGCCGGATGGGTGGGAATTCTTCAAAGAGTTTCAGCGTCCCATCTGGTTCGTGATGAGGGGGCAAGACGACGAAGGCGTCGTAGGCGACTATGTATTAGGCTGGCTGACCATGAAGTGTCCCCTAGACCGCGTGTTCGAGACAGCCCTCAAGTCCAAACAGGAAGAATTCTCCACCAAGTCAACCGCGCAGTGCACCGTCCCTACCCATAGAGCAGAACGGCGAGAAGCCGAAAAGCGACGCACATGTTTCTACCGATATTTCGACTTGCTCGAAGCTGGCCAGCTGAGCAGACATATTCAAACCAAGCTTGGTGGAGCCCGAACCAAGTTTGTAAACGAAACCAAATTTGGAACTGGAGCCAAGTGCAATAAAACAATGGAAGGTGAGGCTATGGTAAATGATGAGGCCGTGGGACAGTGGAGCGGGACGGTGGGTCGGCCGGCGCTGGTAGCATTGATAAATTTGTGCGCGACCCCGCGGTATTATGACCCGGAGGATCTGGGGTCGATAGATTACCGCTGGTTTAAATTCGATGGTGGCGGTCACGTGTTACGGGAGCGGGAGATCCGGCGGTTCTACGAGCTGTTCCTGGGCATTTTACTGACCCGGGGAGTTTTCATCCCGCAGCCGTTCGGGCGACCATCCGATTGGCTACATGACCCAGCAGTACTCAAACAGCAACTCAGTCGGCTACCTCAACACCCCATTGCAGCCATCCACTGTACCCATGGAGTCAACCGCACTGGCTATTGCACACTCCTGCTCCTCTGCGCTTTCGGACTCCGCGATCTCCAAACCGGACTCGACATCTTCTTCAAGGCCCGCGGACACGATATCAATAAAGACGTCTTCATAGAACATATCCGCGATAAGTTCTTTGCAAACTCCTCTCCTCATACAGACAACTACACCCATCACATACTTGGTGAGTCTTGTTTTTTTACGCTCTAACTCTGAGTCTTGCCACCGAGTCCTACCACCACACTCCGAGTCCTACCACCACACTCCGAGTCTTGTTACCACACGCGCAATTATTTCCCCATCCACTTGGCACGGTTTCCGGAACGAATATAAAATGGAGGTCTCGACAAGCGCGGCTGCGAGGCGGCGGGGAGCGTCGAGAGTTGCGGCGCGGCAGCGCGGAGAAGAGATGGTTCGGCGGTCGTTGCGGGAGTCGTTGAGTATATTCGGGGAGACGCACACCCCACCGCCGCCGACATTGGGCGAGCTGGCTTTGTGGCGACAAAAGACGGAGCGGATGCATGGTGCCCTGTTGGGTAACTACCCGTCGCTGGTACCGCGGCCGGACGTGTTGGCGAATGGTTCTTTCGCAGACGCGGCCCTCAAAACGCTGTACGATGCTCACGTCAGCGCCTTAAACAGACCCCTGGGAACCGCCGCGAGCCAACTCCGAGACACCCTTTTGACCCAGTTGGCGGCAGGGGCAGGGTCGCAGTTGGCGGCAGGGACGCAGTTGGCGGCAGGGACGCAGTTGGC